AAATACAATATTGAAAAAGCATGCACCAAAAAAAAGAAAAACGTATCAAACGTGAACACCGGCCGGAATGGTTTACTGATGAGATAAAAATATCTAATACATGAACGCGATTACTATCTTAAAGTAGGGAAACATGAACAATACAAAATGCTCAGAAATAAAATATCATCAATGATTAAAAAAAGTAAAAGAGATTTTTTTAACAATGCTATTAAAAATAACAAAGACCCGGCATTTTTATGGAAAAATTTAAAGGACGTTTCAAATCTAAATAAAAAAGGTTGTATTACAATGCCAGACAGACTAGTGACAGGTAATAAAGAAATTTACAGAAATGTAAATATTATAAATGAATTAAACAAGTATTTTGTCAATATCTCGAATGTCATACATAAAACAAAGTTTTCAAATACAAATTTTTCAAACTTGAAAGAAACTTTAGACCAAAAGCTAATATATCATGAATTTAATATTGAATTAATTACACCGTTTGAAGTAAAACTTATTATTGAAAAACTGAATATTAAAAAATCTACAGGATTAGATGGAATTGGACCAAACATCATTAAATATTGTGGAGATTATATTACACCAATAATTGCATCAATTATCAATAATAGTATTAAATATAATATTTTCCCAGATGATTTAAAAAGAGCTAGAGTTATACCTATTTTTAAATCGGGGGATAAGAATGAAGCAAATAACTATCGACCGATATCAATTTTGTCAACTATATCCAAAATATTTGAGCGCCATATTGCCAAACAAATACACTCATTCTTTGAAAAAACGAACATAATTCATAATAAACAATCAGGATTTCGTAAAAAATCATTCATGTAATACTGCACTCATTAGTTTAATAGATACTTGGTTAAAAGATGTTGACAGTGGAAAAATTATCGGGACTGTATTCTTAGACTTAAAGAAAGCCTTTGATTTGGTTGACCATGAAATACTTTTGCATAAACTTAAACTTTATCATTTTTCTGAAAATGCCGTTAAGTTTTTTAAGTCATATCTTTCTAACAGAATACAACTGGTTAAGATAGGTAATCTTCAATCTCAGACAATGAAAATAATTTCCGGTGTTCCACAAGGCTCAATATTAGGACCTTTATTATTTCTAATATACATAAATGACATAGCTTTCATTGGTAATGATATAAAAATTGATTTATACGCAGACGATTCTACCCTTTATGAGTCCGGAGAAAATATATCAAAAGTAGAAATAAAACTTCAAGATCATTTAAATAACATTGACAAATGGTGCAAAATAAATAATATGGCCTTAAATCCAGATAAATCAAAATGTATGGTAATAGGAACAAGACAAAAAGTAAATATTATGAAAAAATTGTATCTTAAGATAAATGAAATAGCTCTTGAAAATGTAACTGATCACAAAGTCTTGGGTATCTGTATAGATAACAACTTAAAATGGCACTTGCAAATTGACAATGTTTGTAAAAAACTTAACGGAAAAATTGCCTTATTGAAAAAGATATCATATTTTTTGCACTTTGATATGAAATTATTGTTTTACAATGCATATATATTGCCCATTATGGACTATTGTTGTATTATATGGGGTAAAGGAAACACAAACTACATAAATAATGTTTGTAAATTACAAAAACGAATTGCTAAAATCATTTTACAGCAACCACAAAGATCTCCGTCAATAAATCTATTCGAAACTCTTAACTGGTTACCGTTCCTTGACAGATGTAAATACCACACGGCGGTGCTTGTTTTTAAAACTTTAAATAACATGGCACCGACTTATATGACAGAACTGATGACTTTATCCGACAACAAAATATATAACTTAAGATCTAGGTCACGAAAAGATATTGTATTATGGACAAGACCTAAAACAAACTATATTAAAGACACATTTTCTTATTATGGCATGAACATTTGGAACAATATACCTTTAAATATTCGTAATGTTAATAACCTTAAATGTTTTAAAGAAAAATACAAAGCATATCTTGATGTTCATATGAATGAATGAGTGAATGAATGAATTAATTAATTAATAAATGAACGAACGAACGAATGAACGAACGAATGATGCAATATACGTATATGTTAAAACAAATTGTTGAGTGTCTGTCGAAAGTATATGAGTTGTAATATTCAAAATATTACATATTATACATTCAATTTTCTACCTATGCATGTCCTGTTGTTGTTGTTGTTGTTTTCTATTTCAGAAGGCCACATTGGAAATAAGATATATATGATTGTTATTGTATGTTCTTAATGTGTAACCTTCTTTAAATAAAGATATTATTATTATTATTATTATTATTATATAGTGAACAAATTCTTCTGTGCTGAACTCCTCCTAAATATTTCAACGGATTTTGTTCAAACTTTCACAGAAGCTAAGTTGTCGTCAAGTGCCCTGGCGCATATTTTCGGGGTTTTGTGATTGTTGAGAATTTTTACCTAATTATGGCCCTTTGTTTTTTTAGCTCACCTGAGCATATGCTCAGGGTGAGCTATTAGGATCACTCTTTGTCCGTCGTCCGTCGTACGTCGTCCGTTGTCCGTTCACACTTTTAAAACGACATCTCCTCTGAAACCATAAGGCAGATCATAATGAAACTTCACAGGGATGTTCCTTGTGTGAAGCCTTAACAAAGTTGTTCAAAGAATTCCATTCCATGCAGAACTCTGGTTGCCATGGCAACCAAAAGAAAAAACTTTAAATATCTTCTTCTAAAAAACCCAAAGAGCTAGAGCTTAGATATTTGGCATGAAACATCTTCTAGTGAGTGTCTACCAAGTTTGTTCAAATAAATGCCATAGGGTCAAAATTGGCCCCGCCCCAGGGGGTCATTGATTTTCCCTATATGCATATAGTAAAAACTTAAAAAATCTTTTAAAGAACCCAAAGAGCTAGAGCTAAGATATTTAGCATGAAACATCTTCTAAAAGGTGTCTACCAAGTTTGTTCAAATAAAAGCCCTGGGGTCAAAATTGGCCCCGCCCCAGGGGATCATTGATTTTCCTTATATGCATATAGTAAAAACTTAAAAAATCTTCTTTTAAAGAACCCAAAGAGCTAGAGCTAAGATATTTAGCATGAAACATTTTCTAATAGGTGTCTACCAAGTTTGTTCAAATAAAAGCCCTGGGGTCAAAATTGGCCCCACCCCAGGGGGTCATTGATTTTTTCCTATATGCATATAGTAAAAACCTAAAAAATCTTCTTTTAAAGAACCCAAAGAGCTAGAGCTAAGATATTTAGCATGAAACATGTTCTAATGGATGTCTACCAAGTTTGTTCAAATAAGAGCCCTGGGGTCAAAATTGGCCCTGCCCGGGGGTCATTGATTTTCCTTATATGTGTATAGCAAAAACTTAAAAAATATTTTTTTAAAAAAATAAACAAATAGCTAGAGTTTAGATACTAAGCATGAAACATCTTCTAGTGAGTGTCTACCAAGTTTGTTCAAATAAAAGCCCTGGGGCCAAAACTTGCCCTGCCCCAGGTGTGTCATTGTTTTTAACTATATGTGTAAAGAAAAAACTTGAAAAAATCTTCTTTTAAAAAACCCAACGAGCTAGACCTTAGATGTTTAGCATGAAACATCTTCTAATGGGTGTCTACCAAGTTTGTTCAAATAAAAGCCCTGGGGTTTAAACTGGCCCAGCTCCGGGGGCTTATATACAGGTGAGCGACTTCAGGGCCATCATGGCCCTCTTGTTTAGTGAACACTTCTTCTGTTCGCAATTCCTCCAACATTATTCATGATTTACATTGCTCATAGTTACATTGTTTGTTGCTTGTATTTGTATTTCAACTACAACATATTTATCTACAATGGTGATAATTAAAAACCTGGTTTCATGGCATTGCCATGTTTCATGTTTATTTATGAATAGATTGCCTTCAAACTTGGACACAATAAATCTTAGAAAAGGCCTTTATGAAGGCTCAATTAATTATAATCTTCACTTATCAATGACTTTGACCTTGAAGATCAAATTATTGAGTTTTGCTTGCTTTTTCTATGATTGGCTATAAGTTTGTTATTTAATAATGGATTGTCTTCAAACTTGAATACAACAATCTTAAGGACAATACTTTCATGAAAACCCAATTTTTTTATAAGATTCACTCCTCATTGACATTGACCTTAAAGGACACATTGAATTTTGCATGATTTTTGCTATAATGGGTTATAACTTTTTATTAAAAAAATGGAATGTCTTCATACTTGAGCACATCTACCTTAAGGGCAATGTCTTAAAACAGATCAAACCCAATTGGACATTGACATGTAAATGACCTTGACCTTGAAGGTCAAATTATTGTAATTTCAGTTCTTTTGCTGTAATAGGCTATAGCTTTGCTAATGTTAAATGGATTGTTTTCATACTTGGGCAGATAAATCTATGGGACAAGACATAAAAGAATACTTAATTATTGATCTTAACATTGACCTTAATTTGACCTCACACTTAAGGGCAATTTAGTGAATTTGGCAACAATTGGCCATATCTTTGTTATTTATTTATGGATTTGGTTAATTCTTCGACAAAAGAACACTTAATAAAACAAAACTGACAGTGATGATTAATTCAAATGTGGCCTTGACTTTTGATTGACCTTGACCGTCAAGGTCATATATGAAATTGGAATTATATTTTGCTCAAGACATAATGTTTCTAGGAGTATTACTGCAATATTCTTTCTTCAATGTTTTTGACCTTAGAAGTAAGAAAAAGTTGTGCATGGTACCCGCTTAGCAAGTTGCTCTTAATAAATTTTGTGCAATTTAAGATATTGCATTGCATGTTAAGTATTAACTATCATTGCTCACATTCTGAATATTTTACTCTTATAATAATGTAAATTGATATGATTTTGACCAACTACATGCTATAAATACATGTACATGATGTATTTATTTTTAAACATGTATGAAACACATGCATTATTTTTATCATAATTGTGTTAAACATAATTTCAGGATCTCCTCGCCAGTGCGTCACTCTTAAGCGTAAAGATCCACATCAAGATGCAACACCATCCTCTCAGGTTAAAAAAGATGAGGAAAGTTCTACAACTAAAATACCTGCAAAGTGGCCGGCACCAAAACCTGTGTCTCACCTCAATGTTACCAAACCACATTTTCAAGTATCCCCAGTACTGAATGTAATAACAGATAACTCCACTATTACAAACATTCCACAGTTGTCACCTTCTATTGTGCAGCTCACTCAAACAAATATACTGCACAAAGATGTGAAGGACAATGTTCCAGAATTAGTCCCAGCAATGGTAACAAATCCTTTGTTATCTATGTCAGTGTCTAGCAACGCTTTGCGTTTTGTTGAAAGAAATCGCACAACATTTAAAACAATGTACAAGTGTGTTTTTGATCCTGAGACATGCAACCACATTTCAAAAGACAAATCTAAAATGAAGCAGCATCTGTTTATGCATGTGGAATATAAGCCCTGGACATGTGACTTTTGCGACATGACTGCAAGCCAATCATCCCACATTAAGAATCACGTGAGAACTGAACATCCGGGTGTTGCAGACACGTCATTTAAATATAAACGGCATAATTATTTGGAAAAACATATAGAGGGCTTCTTAAATAAAGGTCTTTTTACTGTGCCAGTTAATGAGTATCGAGCTATAATGGATATGAAAGGTAATACAAAATCTTCAAAGCAACCAATATTTGAGCGGGATGAAGAAGGGAATTTACTCTGTCCTTACTGTAGTTATAGAACAAAGAGTGGAGGCATGACAGATCACATAAAAATGAAACATATGCAGCCTCGTTTCAAATGTCACTGGTGTGATTACAGAGCCTTCTATCGGTCAGAGGTCAGGAAACATCACCGGAAGGAGAAGAGCCATGCGGATCATGAATTTAAAACACAAGAACTAGATCTTGCTCAGGCTATGGAAGGTTACAAAGAAAGAAATGGTAAGAAATATTCTAGGACTTATTTGGTTCCATTATGTCATTTATATTTACCTGCTTAGAATGTAACAATGCCCTGAGTAAAATATTTATATGCTCAGTCAGTCCTTTATAAAAAGTTGTGACAGTCAAAATTTATTATTCATTCAGAAATGTAGAGATAATCAAAATACGTAAAAAAATAATTATAGTGTAGGATTAAGTCTTGATTTAATGCAAAAATGTATTGTTACCATTATTGTCCATTCAATTTACAGCTTTATTATGCAGACCAATTAAGATTATATAGGTTACTATTAATGCATCCAATTATAATTTTACTTCTTATGTTAATAGAAACTGCTTTTGGGACAGATGTTGCAAGTTCATGCACTTCCAATTACAATCCAAGTCAATTCCTGGATGATGAAGAAGATGATGATGACAACCATGATGATGATGATGATGATGATGATGATGATGATGATGATTTAGGCAGTGAGTGTTGGTCTAGTGAAGGTTCGTCAATAGGTGATTATCAACAAGGTTACGTAGAATACACAACTGAGCAGCTTTCAAACTTATGTGCCAGCAAACAGCTAAAAGTTGATATACATACGGAATGTGATACTGCGACAAAAAATGATTGTGGACCTAGCCAGGTTCGCCTTGAAAGCATTAATACGGAAGTAGGCCCAGGCGTGTCAATGGAAATTGTACAAATGACTACACCTGAAAGTAATGAAGCAATTAAATCAAATCCTGCCAAGGATTCAAAGTTTAAGTGTGGCTATTGCCCCTTTTCAGCTGATTTAAGGGTTAAAGTTAAAATGCATTGTTCGAAGAAACATTCTGAAAAGGTTATAAATATTATTGAACCAGCTCCAAAACCCGAAACAGCTTTAAGACAAGATAATATTGATTTGGGTGTAGATGACTGGAAAGGTACAAAGTTTGAACAAGATTTAAGAATGGCAGGTGTTTCCAAACTTAACCTTGCATCTCTATTTCCTCACAGTAAACGATTTCATAAATCAAATTCTAGTAGTCACAGTGTTGTTAAGTTAGACGAGGACAAAACAGAATTCAAAAAACCTTTAGAACCTATTGCTAAAGTTAAGACTCTTGACAGAAAGATTGAGAACGCTTTATCAAAAGAGGGTGCAACCATTATCACAGATAAAACAATTGACAATCTCAGTAATGTAAGAGACAATCAGGAAATAAGCAAAAAGTCAGGAGAAAATCTAAAGCGCGACACAAATAGTGCAAAATCTAACATTCTTATAAGTGATGTGAGGTCAATAAAACAGGAAAATACACCAACATCAAAAACTGAAGACACAAAGGATGAAATCGTTCAGAATTTAAAAACAAATTTTAAAGTAAAAGATAAAGTGCAGACAGCATTCCCTAATCACACTACTGTCATTCTTGAGGATGAGACCAATGATGAAAATACCAACAGAAATGACACTGAGAGTGTTTCTATTAACACAGAGGCTTTGGAAGATGTGTGTGAAGAAAAGCGTGGAAACAGGTGTGCACAGAACATTTACATTAGGGATAGTTGCTCAGTTGACATTGAAGAAAACAATGAGAATAAAGCAGATATTGTTTCAGACTCAGTGGAAGGTGGTAATAATGAAAATATAACAAAACTGGATTCTTGTGAAATAGACAGTGATGTTAAAATGCCTGAAAATACTGGACCAAACATTGATGAGACATTACCATATGAAAAAGATGATATTCATTTTACGAATGGACACAAGTTTTCTATTGATGGAACAATAAAGGAAAGTTACGATATAGAAAATAATGATCAAATAATGAAAGAAATCATATGCAAATCGTGTGACAAAACAAATAACACTGAAATCTTGATCAAATTGGATGGTACATCTGATGTTGAATTAGATTCTTCAGTTAAGGAGGGTATTGATGTTTTAAAAAGTGCACTTACCTGACAGTCACAACACCACATGTGCTATAAAAGACATTTACAAGAAAATAAAGACATTAGCACAACACATGTGCTTTAATAGATATTAACTAAGAAAAATAAAGTTAGGTCAACACATGTTCTTTAATAATCAAATAAATACACATGTACCATAAAAGGTATTTACAAAAAAGCATAGAGTTAGGATATATATTTGCTTTGAAAGAATTTTTTGAATACACAAAGTTACGTTTAAATTTTAATAAGTTATATTATAAAGCACATTTATTATGGGAACATCTATGTAAGACATTTACAAGGAGACACAAAGATATGTGTCATTGATTTTCATTATAGGTCCTCTACCAAAGTTGTTCAAATTTTGCCACTAGTGTCATAATTGGCTCGGCCCTGTGGTCTAAGGTTTTTCTTATATGTACATAGTAAAAATCTTCGGCATGAAACATTGTGTAGTGAAATTCTACCAAGATTGTTCAAACTATAGCCCTAGGGGTGGAAATTGGCCCCTCCTCAGCAACCACTGGTTTTCATTATGTATATATTGTAAAAACCAATGACTGGGAAGAAACCAAACTTTACAGGAATTATCCTTGGATGGTCCCTTTACAAAGTTGTTCAAATGGTTCCAGTCTGTTGCATAAGTAGGTCATGAGGGCCAGAAAAGGAGTTTCAATAATGCAAATTTAAAAATCTTCTTGTCTGAAGGTACAAGGCTTGCTTGGAGCTTTAATATTTGGTATATAATATCATCCATAGGTCCTCTACTAAAGTTGTTAAAATTTTGCCCCTAGTGTCGAAATTGCCCCCGCCCCGGGGATCATAGGTCTTTCCTTATTGTGTTGCATTAAAAAAAGCAGACATGTAGGGGTTACTTTTGTAGCGGCCATTAGCCTTGCCCGAAGCATAACTCAGTCACTATTAGTCGCGCAACATTTGGGTCGCTACCTTGAAGGTCAAGATCACAGCATGACCTTGAAGCAAAATTGGGTCTGGCAAATAACTTCGTTATTTGAAGTCGGTTTTTACAACTATTTCACAGAAATGATCACCATATTAAGACGATGTGTCACGTGCAACATTTTGGTCGCTACCTTGAAGGTCAAGGTCACAGCATGACCTTGAAGCAAAATCGCCTCCTGCCCGTAACTTCGTTATTTGAAGTCGGATTTTACAACTATTTCACAGAAATGATCACCATATTGAAACGACATGTCGTGCGCAACATTTTGCTCGCTACCTTGAAGGTCAAGGTCACAGCATGACCTTGCAGCAAAATCGCGTCCGGCCCATAACTTTGTTATTTGAAGTCGGATTTTACAACTATTTCACAGAAATGATCACCATTTTGAGACGATGTGTCGCGCGCAAGTAGGTAGATAGATCTCATTGAGTAAAAATGCAGTGGAAAGAACAGATACTCTGCCTTGCCTAAATTTGGAATTATCACACTTTGAACTTACTCTGAAACTACAAAAGATATACTTTTCTGTGTTCAAAAGGGAGAGCATCACCCGGTTCAACCGGCTCTTGTTCGAGTTATTGCCCTTTGTTAATTTTCATACTTTATTTTTGTTCGGGCCATTTCTCATAAACTATAAAAGCTATGGACTTGAAACTTTATAGGATGAAAGATCTTATTGAGAAGAAATGCAGTGCACAAAAGTGGTACTCTGCACTTTTTTTTTTTTTAGTTATTGCCTTTATTAATTTTCATATTTCATTTTTGTCCGGGCCATTTCTCATAAACTATAAAAGCTATGAACATGAAACTTTATAGAATGATAGATCTCATTGAGATGAAGTGCTGTGGCGAAAAACTGGTAGTTCATGATTTTAGAGTTATTGCCCTTTGTTAATTTCACCTAAACTGGGAAAGCTATGGACTTGAAACTTCATAGGATGATAGATCTCATTGAGAAGAAGTGCAGTGCACAAGAAACCGTACTCTGTACTTCATGATTTTAGAGTTATTGCCCTTTGTTAATTATAATACTTTATTTTTGTCTGGGCCAATTCTCCTACACAATAAAAGCTATTGACTTGAAACTTCATAGGATGATAGATCTCATTGAGAAGAAGTACAGTGCACAAGAACTTGTTCTCTGCACTTCATGATTTTTGAGTTATTGCCCTTTGTTAATTTTCTTACTTAATAGGCTTGTCCAGAGCATAACTTGGTCACTATAAGTTTGATTGACTCCAAATTTGGTATGTAAGCTTTTTTCATTGACCTGAAGTGCAGTGGTTATGAATCCATCACAGAGTCCTCCATTTGATCTGTCAGTGTAAAACTTTTCCATGTTATTTTTATATTTGATAATATAACAGCTTTTTTTAATCATGATGTAACATTGTTACAATCAGTTTAACTGTCACTAAAGTTCAAGGTACATGTACATTGTAAGAGCGGTGTTTATAAATAATCTATATTTAAGAAGAAATGCCTAAGTGACAGCTATACTTTTCACAAGGCGACACATCCAACTCGCAGAGTTATAGTATGTATATAGTAAAAACTTTAAAAAAAGTTTCTTCTCTGAATGGACAAAGGCTAGAGGTTAGATATTTGGCATGAAACATTGTGTACTGCACTTATACCAAGATTGTTCATTTTATAGACTTGGGGTCAAAATTATCCCCGCCTCGTGGGGACTTTGATTTTCATTATGTACAAACCATAAAAAGCTTCTTGTCTGAAGGGAAACAACTTATAATGGAATTTCTTTTATACATGTTATGCAATGTCTCTATAAAAAGATTTAGTAGCTGGAAGTAAGTCTAATGGTCATGACCTCTGGCAAGAGAAATGTTTGCTTTTCAGGGATGTTTATGAAATGACCAGAGGTCATGAACTCTAGCAAGAGAGATGTGAGCTTTGCAGGGATATTTAATGAAACAATCTGAGCACATTATATAATGATGGTTTTAAATAGTAAATGTTTTTTATGTTTTAAGAAATTGGTAATGCTTATTTCAGTATTTAAGAAAATGTAACTGTACCTGCATTTCAAAGTTTAATACAGCTGTGACAAGCTGAAATATGACCTTGACCCCTAAATTCACTAGACACTACTGCATTATTGCAAAGTTCAATTGTATAGAAAAAAGTATTTAATGTAATGCGGTTGCATAGCATTGTTCACAAAATGCCATCTACTAAGATTTCCCCCCCCCCCCCCCCCCCCCCCCCCCCCCCCCCCCCCCCCCCCCCCCCCCCCCCCCCGAATAACCTTTTTTGTTAAGATTAATTTCTTATATAACCCTCTCAATTACCGTATCTCCCATTTTAAACAAAATTTTGAATTATTTTCTCAAAAAATGTCGTAGATATTCATTTCAAACTTGTTGAATTTATAAAAATTTCTGCCAAACAATTTATGAGAATAAATATTTTTTTTGGCTTTCATCATACTATCAAGTACTGAGAAAAATGGAGTGTGCTGCTCCTTGGTTTGAAAAAGAATATGAGGGATATGGCTGATTTTGATATCTATTCTAGTCTTTTTACAAAGTTTTCCAATAACATCTTTATTTGGTTACTTTGATTATTGTTTTTGTTGAAATAAGGTTTTGGTAAGTATTCTAGTCATCTAGTTAATTGTTATCCCTCGCCGAAAGGCAGCGGGGGATATAGAAATAGTCTCCGTCCGTCCTACCTTCCGTCTGTCCGTCCTTCCGTCCGATATTTTTGTCTGGAGCATATCTCAAAAAGTATTTGGGGTATCAACTTGAAACTTCATAGGTGGATAGATCATATTGAGAAGGAGTGCAGTGCACAAGAATGATAACTCTACCCTGCATAATTTTTCAGTTATTGCCCTTTGTTAGTTTTGAAACTTAATTTTTGTCCAGAGCATAACTCAAAAAGCTTATAAGATATCAACATGAAACTTCATAGTAGATAGATCTCGCAGTGCACAAGAATGATAACTCTACCCTTCATAATTTTTGAGTTATTGCCCTTTGTTATTTTTCATACTTAATTTTTCATGTGAGTGGAGCATAACTCAAAAAGTCTTTGAGATGTCAACATGAAACTTCATAGGTGGATAGATCTTATTGAGGAAGTATGCTGTGCACAAGAATGATAACTCTTTCCATTATAATTTTTGAGTTATTGCCCTTTGTTATTTTTCATACTTTTTGTCCGGAGCATATGTCAAAAAATATTTGAGGTATCAGCTTGAAACTTCATAGGTGGATAGATCATATTGAGGAGGATTGCAGTGCACAAGAATGATAACTGTTTCCTGCATAATTTTTCAGTGATTGCCCTTTGTTATTTTTCAAATTTAATTTTTGTCCAGAGCATAACTCAAAAAGCTTATGAGATATCAACAAGAAACTTCATAGGTGGATACGCAGGAGGTGTGCGGTGCACAAGAATGATAACTCTACCCTTCATAATTTTTGAGTTACTGCCCTTTGTTATTTTTCATACTTAATTTTTCATGTGAGTGGAGCATAACTTTGAGATGTAAACGTGAAACTTCATAGGTGGATAGATCTTATTGAGCACAAGAATGATAACTCTTCCCATTATAATTTTTGAGTTATTACCCTTTGTTATTTTTCATACTTTTTGTCCGGAGCATATGTCAAAAAGTAATTGAGGTATCAGCTTGAAACTTCATAGGTGAATAGATCATATTGAGGAGGATTGCAGTGCAAAAGAATGATAACTGTTCCCTGCATAGTTCTTCAGTTATTGCCCTTTGTTATTTTTGAAACTTAATTTTTGTCCTGAGCATAACTCAAAAAGCTTATGAGATATCAACATGAAACTTCATAGGTGGATAGATCTCACTCAGGAGGTGTGCAGTGCCTAAGAATGATAACTCTACCCTTCATAATTTTTTAGTTATTGCCCTTTGTTATTTTTCAAACTTAATTTTTCATTTGAGTAGAGAATAACTCAAAAGTCTTTGAGATGTCAACATAACATTCATAGGTGGATAGATCTTATTGAGGAGGAATGCTGTGCACAAGAACGATCACTCATCCCGTTATAATTTTTGAGTTATTGCCCTTTGTTATTTTTCATACTTTTTGTCCGGAGCTTATCTCAAAAAGTGTTAGAGGTATTAACATGAAACTTCATAGATGATTAGGTCTCATAGAGGAGGAGTGCAGCACACAAGAATGATAACTCTACCCTGCATATTTTTTCAGTTATTGCCCTTTGTTATTTTTGGCTTGCAGCCACGGCTGCAAGCCATTTCATATGGAAAACTAGTTCCGGTTAGGTGGTTTCCTGCTTACATCTGTTGGTGCATGATTGAACGGGAAACCAGCCGCAATCGTGCCAATCGCAACCTTTCGGCCTTTTCCGTCACTCTTCGGATTAATGATAATAGCCGATGTAGTTCCGATTGCAATCGTGACAATTCGGGCGATTCCTTCATACTGCGGAATCAGACGAAGTAATATAACGGAAATCTAAGCTATTTTAGTTACTTCGGTAATCCCAGTTTGTTTATATAAACAGGATTTCTATTTTTACTTGATTACCGTAATAAATTATAAACGAAATTGTTCCGTTTCAATTGTTTTTCAAGACGCAAAAGTTAGTTTCTTTTATAATTGTTTTTTGTCTGTATTAGTTTTATACAATAGAGAATGGTAGTAGTATTCCGTCTTCAAAGGGTGGTCCTGCTTACCAAATCACACATGATCGAGTTATATTTAGATCTACTGAACTGGTGAGGTAATCTAAAAATAGCCCATGCATATCATTAACCTTGCCACATAGCGCATCGTGATCGTGTAACATAGTTGATCAATACATGCTTATTAACTGGTACCACGTAACGAAGTATTTTAGTGCATTTACTTGTCTATAAAGCAAAGGAATGATTTCGCTGCGAAAAAGGGGAAATGAAATGTGCACACTTGTTTTCCTTCAGTATCACGTTAGTATTTTTACGATTGATCATTTTCTGTTTATACAATAGAGATAAGAGCACTAAATAAACCCTTTATGATATACAAATACCGTAATTCAAAAAAAAAATGTGATAATAAATTGAACCCCCCCCCCCCCCCCAAAAAAAAAAAACAAACAATTTTAAATGGTTGGGATGAAGGCACAACTGTGCAAGCCTTTCCTTTTAAAAGGAAACTTTATTCATGCTTAATTTTTGTCCAGGTCATAACTTTAAAAGCCTTTGAGATATCAACTTGAAACTTCATAGGTGGATAGATCTCATTGAGGAGGACACAATAATGATAACCTACCCTGCATTATTTTTCAGTTATTGCCTTTTTGTTATTTTCAGCCATCAGTATTCACATATGTTTCAAATCTGTAATCACTTCAACCATCAGTTTTCATTACCAAAAGACCTCTTAAAATTGAATTATTCTGCTCTACAACATATATATTCTTTCAATAAGCAAACACATTCGGCGAGGGATGGCCATGTTGACATGGCTCTTGTTTACATTTGTTTAAGGCTTTTTGTTCGAAAATGTTGGGGATTTATTATGTATTGCTTGAAATATGTTTAGCCTTGAATTTAACTGTAAGAGTATGTAAAATCACTGTATTAAATGTTTTCATCACACTGGTAAAGGAACAAATTAATTTCATGTACAGTTAAATTGGAAATTATATAATTCTTTTTATTGGTTTCTTTTTATCAAATTTCAATTCTATGTAAAGCGCAAAGTTTGTGTTATGAATAATAATTAATTTCACAATGTCAAGAAGAAATAAAGCATTAATAAGGCAAGATTTGTTGATTTATGTCTACAAAAAATGTTTATTTTTCTCGAATTTTCAAAAGGTTCTTTTTATGTTTCTTACAGTTATTAATCTATTACAAGTAATTAAGATCTGACAAGAAATGTTTAGTGAAAACTTTGTCTAGTGAAGGTCTACCAAGTTTGTTCAAGTAAAAGCAATGGGGTCAAAATTGGCTCTGCCCAAGGTGATCGTTGATTTTCAATATAAGTATATAGTAAAAACAAACAAAAAAAATCTTCTCCTATTTAGGAAATAGATATTAATTCGTAAAATAATGCACGGTTTGAGTTCAAATGCTTAGTATTATAATCAGGAAGGCCGATAGGCCCGAATAATTAATTACAAAGCATTTGAACGAAAAACATGCATTATTATACAATAAAGCACGAAGAATTAATATCTAGTTCCATTCTCACACGTCTAGAAACAATATAATTATTATCATAAAATCGGACTTTATGTTTGGTGGTTAAATTTGTTTTCGCCTCAGAGTTTCCAATAGAAACGTTCTTTAAGAGCTGTTCCAGTGGGTTGAAAAAAACTGTCGTTAAATTACCCGAGAGCTAGATACTCCCTTCTGTACCAACGGCCGGTGTTTGATTCTTTTTCTTGCATATTACATGTCAAATATTTTCGGAACAGAAATTATGAAAACTGATATATATATTACGCACTTTTTATGCTCCCCGAAAATAATCGGGGGAGCATATAGTCGGCGCCTTGTCCGTCCTTCCGTCCGTTGTCTTGTCCGGAGCATAACTTGAAAACCCTTGGAGATAATTTGTTGAAACTTCATACAGTGGTAGAGGGCATTGAAGGGGAGTGCAGTGTTAAAGAACCATAACTCTATTTTGCCCGGTTTTTGAATTATCTCCCCTTATAGAAAAATCTTGTCCGGGGAATAACTCTAAAACTATAAGAGATATCAACATGAAACTTTGTAGGTGAATAGATCTCAATGGGTAGATGTGCAGTACATAAGAACAATAACTCTTTTTGTCCTAATTTTGGAGTTATTGCCCTTTGTTTATTTTAACACTTTGAACTTTGTCCGGAACATAACTCTAAAACTATAAGAGTTATCAAGATGAAACATTGTAGGTAGATAGATCTTATTGAGTAGAGGTGCAGTGCAAAAGAACCATAACTCTGTTAAGCCTCATTTTTGAATTATCTCCCCTTTTAGAAAAATCTTGTCCAGGACATAGCTGTAAAACTATGAGATATCAACATGAAACTTTGTAGGTAGATATATCTCAATGGGTAGATGTGCAGTGCACAAGAATCATAACTCTGCCTTGCCTAGTTCTGGAGTTATTGCCCTTTGTTTATTTTTACTTTTTGAATTGTCCGGGACATAACTCGGAAATCATAAGAGATATCATCAAGAAA